GCAAGGCAGCAGTCAGGCCTACTGAACTTACGTGATCCATTGAAGCCTTCCAGCAGCAGGTCCAGCAGCTGTTCGTAGATATTCTGGTTGACGTAAATCTCCGGGGTGAGCAGAACCGTCCGTGTGTTAGAAACTGTCAGGTTCTTACAGCGTACAGCAAATGACAGCAACTTCTCTGGTACCTTTGTCACCTTGGGCAACAAATAATCAAACAAAGAGCATGGGGCATTTTTAATGTTCAAATTACAGAGAGTAGTCTGGCAAGCTCTGAGAGCAGATGCAGAAACCAGCTGCAGGCATTCTCACCTCTTCTTTAGACCTCTGGTAACAAGCAAACAGGTAAGGCATGGCACACTTCTCTCCGGCGTCACGGTCAGCTGACAGGTTAACAGCGCTGCATGACGTCATGTAGATGAGCTGGTTTCCTGGCTCTAGCAGCAGCAGACGGTTAAACAGAGCCTGGAAGACAGAGATCTGATCTAATTACTCACCCATACACATAAAACAATCTTTGTATGACTGATTATTCCTTATATTTCTGAATTAATTCCCTGCATAATACACCTAAAAAACTATGTCTAACTAATGCTTCTGAAGTCATCCCTCAGCAGAAAACACACAAAAAAAAACATGCTCTTGACCTGTTCTATGTTGTCCATGTCCAGCCAGTCCTGTCCATCCAGATCTGCAGCCATCTCCTCCAGGTAAACACAGCGAGGGGGGATCCCATTGCCTCCTCTCATACTTGGGTCACCTTCAAGGAAATGAAACCATGTTCCATAAAAACAAAAATCTCAAATTATAGGACATAAAAAGCTGTGACGTTTAAACAAAAACAAACATCATAGCTGGATTATCATAGCCGAGAAATAAATACGACTTCAAAATCATCATAAGAATAAATAATAATGGATAATTGAAGCGCCTGTGTTTATATTTTTCAAGGCTGAGGTGGCAGAGGAAATCATTGTAGGACTCTATGTGAAGGGGGGGGGGGGGCTTTTGCCAACATTTCCTCAACACCATGACTCATGCTTGAGCAGCATTCTCACATTGAAGATTCACAATATGCAAGGTCTTGCTATTGTCATTAAGGGTGGTGAGTCATTTGTTGCATTACTTACTGAAAGCTAAATTTTGACATTCAAGAGAGCCAGCAACATCAAACAATACCACTAAGAATAGAAGAACAGACTGCTGTACTTTTTTGGCTAAAACCCAGCTACATATAGAGACATCTGTCTGTCTGTCTCTCTTACGTCCTTTCAAAGAGAAGCAAAAGAAGACTATTTTGCTGGTAATGTAAAGAAGAAACCTGACTTTGCACCTTACATTAATTGGAATCTGACCTTGGCACTATGTTGAATGTCACCTCCCACTCTCCTCCCCACATTTCATGTCTCTTTGAATTCATACATTTGAAGCTCCTACTCATCAAATCATTCAGTGACTCCTCGTGCCCTATGGAAGTGTGTACTGTCATCCTGGAGGGAACACTCCCAAGAGGAAAGAGAATGGTTCCTCATAGAATAAATGTCATAACTCAGAACAACTTGATTTAAATGTTGTTGTGACCCTTTCCTCTAAAGGGAGAAGTGGGCCCATAAAAATGCTCCCAACAGCATAACAGGCTCAGTGACTACAGATGTTCAAACAGAAAACCCAAGTTTAGCAAATAGATCTACAATTGTTTACCTGTTGTATGTTACTACTAGATATTTGTCATTCAATGTTGATATAACAGACATACAGTAGAATGTATGGTTCATGCAGTAGGTGGATATTCAATATACCTTTTAAACAGTTGTCTATTTACATGGTCATAAATCAGAAACTGGACTACTGTTGTTTATTAAGTAACTTGCTAGCAACATAACTGCAGACTGGAATCTCTGCTGAGCTGGAGTTTGTGTTTATTTTCATAGAACTAAGACGCAGGCATACATTCTGTATAAAACGCGGTACTCGTTACAAATCACTCATATTTAATCTCCTTTTACTTACTGTTGTCAAGAGTGATGAGAAATATTCGCTGGATCATGTGATTGACATTGAGCTGTTCACAGAGCTCCTGGCGGGACCGGAAGGAGCGGCTGATCTCTGCCACAGAGTCATCATTTTCATCGACGCTGTCTGACACAGAGTTTTCTGACTCTGACTGGCTCTCTCCTGAGTCCTCCACTGTCATACAGGAAGAAAAAAAAGGTTGGTATGATTTCATAACATGGATTAATCTAAGCCAGAACAAATGAGAAGAGAGAGAAAACCCTGACGCTCCTCTAACACTGTTATGTGGGCATTATGTGTGTATCTGATTTGTTTCTCTGCTCTTCGTTTCGTAACTATGATCAGCAGCTCTGATAACTCACGTGGTGGTTCGGTAGACTGTTGAGGTTTCTGGCCTGATGCGAACTGCTTGGCATCGGCCAGTGAGCTGAAGAGGGCGGCAAAGGGGTTGCAGGAGATGTTCTGGTTGTTGTTGCCCTGGTCAGTCATCTCATTGGGGCTCAACACTCACTCCATCCAAGATCCCAGCCTTCAAGGGCAACGCAGACACATCAACACAGACGCAGCACTTACAATATCCACACAGGTTAGTATTTTCTTTTCTAACATTGTCTGAATATTATCATAACCATGTCAGCCTTACAGTTACAGTCAGACACACGGAGGTCAGTAACAAGAACAAACTGGACAAAGTTGTTAAACTAGGCAGCAAGATAACTGGGAAGCAAATGTACAGCATTTCTTTCCTGACAGACCCGTACACAGTGAATTTAGCCATCAAGATTACAGCTGACCCTCTGCACCCCTTTTGGTCAGAGTATGAACTCTTGAATTCAGGGGGCGCAGGTACAGAACGCCCAGGATGAGGACTAAAAGAGGCATTACATCCTTTGTACCGTGCAGTATTCAGCTGCTTAATAAGACCTGACTATACAGGACAAACTCGGCACTCTTGCACTTTTTTTATTTAACTTGCTGAAATCCCCTCATTGAATCATGTGATGCTTTAGTGTGTTTTTATGTGCTGTCCTGTAAATTTTTGTTTGTATTGTGTGTTTTTTTTTTTTTTAGCTCTCTGTGCAAGGCAAATTCCCCCTAGGGGCAATAAAGGTTTCACTCATTCATTCATACATCTTAATCTTCTTCTTTGAGGTTCACATCCAGGAGTGAGTTTTCCAGACTTCTCCACTGTAGTGTAGAAGATCAGATCAGACCTAGATATTCATAATTTGTGAAAATGTGAAGAATTTCCCGTCTCAATATTTCTGTGTGTGATTGTTTCTCTTCATACCGAACACAATATTTCCCTTAATGTAAAAAGGTACTCTTTAACATGCCTGTGTCCTCCTCACTACATCCTCTGTCTCCTGATCCTACGTCTGCTTTTCATTTCTTCAACCTCTGACGTACTAATAAACTTCAGACATGTCGTAGAGATCAACCAATAAAACAATTACTCCTGCAGTCGATTTTAAAATGGAGCAAACAAACAAAACAACCAACCGCAAAACAGCATGTCGGCGGATCAAAGTTACGTGTGTTGTCACGGTTACCCATCAGTTTAGTTTAGCACCTTTACTTTGTGGAGCTAGCTTTCCTCTTCACCCATTATTTTTTAAATCATGTCAGCTGTCAGCCCTAGCAGTCATGTAGTAGCATTAGCGACCTAGCCGGGAGGGTTGTGCGAGTAGCAGTGACCGTCCTGCCTGCAACAGGGGCTAAGTTAGCTGGTTAGCTGGTTAGCTTGTGTAGCAGCAGAAGCTAAAGCTGTCACTGGGTCACCACGACTCTCTTAATCTTTGGCATAGATTTAACAAACTGTCACGTTTTGTTTCCTGTATTATCAGTCCAAAATGACATGTGCAAACGATAAAGAGGGCTGTCGTACCTGCTTGACGAGGAAGAAGTGTGGTGTTTTTTTTTTGGTTTGAAAAAAAAAATTGCTTCTGCGAAACCAGTGGAAGCAGATCCTCAGTAAATTGAAATTGTAAACGTCATCAAAGTGAGACGAGGGGTTTCTCTCTGCTGCTGCTGCTGCTGAGTAACTTTAAGAAAACAATAAAACATTGTGGATTAAAAGAAGCATTTCGTTGGACACTATAAAATGTAGTACACTTATGCAACCCTTATTAAAAGTAATGCAGATAAATTCAATATTTTCTTAAACTGTATTCAAACATAATACTTATGGGAATAATTTAAAAATAGTTCATATTTGATTTATTTTTCAGTGTATGGTTTCAACACCATAATACACAACAACAAAAAAAATATTTTCTCATAATGCTGAAACACTGTTCGTGAGAAAACAGGAGCAGGAAGAAGAAAACTTAATAGTCATTAATATAACAAGTTATGCCCCAAATAACATAATATTTGTGACTTTTAAGGAAGGCAAATGAGCATTAAAATTGCATATTAAACTGTACTTAAAGAGATACTTTAACTTAGTTTGTTAAATAAATAATTAATTAGTATGCCTTATCACGCACATACAGTAAGGATATGTGCATGATTATTCATATTTATGAGGGCCTATATTTTCATATATTATACATAGCCTAATGCAGCAAATAGAGCAGATTCAGTTAGATTTTGAGTGTTTTAATCTTTATATTTACAGTCTATGCCTCTCTATTAATGATTTTTCACTGATGTGTATGCTGGCTGTCAGCAGAGGGCAGCAGCAGGCTTCATTCTGGATCATTCTTAATGTTAACTCAAGAGCGCCCCCCCCCCTCATTAAACTGTGTTCCTTAGTTTACATTTGGGTATGAGGGGCTGCATTTCAGGGAAACCATTTTTACAACGGTGGTATAGCTTCCCTGTAAACCACGTAGCACTTTTTTGTTTGTATGTTGTGACAGCTGCGCAATTCCCACCATTTCAATGCATCCAATATCAAACTTCTCCACCTGAACAGATGTGTTGTGAAATGATTTGACAAGTACTCCAGATGTGATCAGTGAGGCAGCTCAGGAAATAAAACCAAGTTTGATCTAAACAGCTTTAATACTGAGCATTGAGTCACAGAACAAACACATACCATACCAAGTTATCATTCAGAGAAAATAAAACACACATAAAAACTTTATCATTTATGTGAAGACATACACAGTATCGTATACAATCAACATTTTAACATGATTGGCTTTGTTTAGTAAACTGGCTTCTCTTTTTTTCCAACTTGGTATGTCGAGACAAAATTCAGCATGAATAGAGTTTTACAGTTAAGTCATGAAACGTCTGTTCAGTTTTCTCTTTCACTTTGATTTGTGATGTTAAATAATTTGAACACATACTCTTTACACCTGCTGTTTATGCTATGTAAAAAGACATACACATACATTTACAATATTACAAAATAAGGCACATTATTTACAACCTAAAGCAAAGTTTTGAACAGAATTCTGTGAAATTAGCTGGAGTCATCACAGTAATAGGAAGGCTCAGCCTCAGTGAAATGTTTTTAGGTAAGAGGGTTCTTGATAAGTCTTTGTTCGTAGTGGCTCTGTGCGTCAGTACTGAATTCAAAGTGTCTCTATGGCTTCTTTTCACCATATTTGATGGACAGAAAGCTGCAGTTGGACTTCCTTTTTTACCTCCTGGAGCTTTGGTTCACTCAATGTCCACTATTTACCATACTGCACCCCTTTCCCCCGTCTTAACCAGTCCCTCCAGGGGGACTGGGTTTTTTCCTGATTAGAGTCTGAATTCCAGGTGGAGGAGGAGGAGGAGGGCTGTCGTGTCCAGGTGGAGGTCACACTGCTTGGCCTGCGGAAGAAGGACATGCCGTTGGATGGTGACTTCTTCTGAGGAAGCTCCGACTGCTGCTGTGACCTGAGCTGCTGGTTGATGATGACCTGAATGTCGTCCTGAGAGAAGGAGAGGAAGAAGAGAATGTGAGCAGGATTTCGAACAATCTCACAATTCAATTATTTTTGAGTGACATTTGTCGTAAACATCAGTACCCAGGTCTTGAAGGCGAGTACAGAACCCAGAAATAATCAGCTACAAATGAAGTATTCAGAAATGGAAAAACATTGTTTTGTCTGATTATTTGACAAGTATATAGATTTAGACATGCTCTTAGAGTCCATTTTTGTTTCATTCACGACTGTTTTAAAAGACAATAACTTCATGGAATGCTCAAAGGCAGATTCAGAGAACTAAAGACTGAAATGACATTGAGCTAAAACAGCAAAAGCATTATCTCAGCAAGTCTCGAATCTGGACTCTTGAAATGTTTAGAAAGCCATGTAGTTGCCGGTCGTCAGTGTTCTTTGTGTGGACTGATCGCTGCATTTATCTGTTTTTGATCTGTATTTCTCAAGTTCCATCAGTGATTTGCTCCAAATATTTTTATTTTTTTTATCTCCATTTGAACATGAAAGATCCTAATTTCCGGCAGATGGCTCAGCTTGGCATAGTGACTGTGCAGCAGAAAGAGACACTTGCCTCTAAAAGTCCTCCAAATTGATAGGACTGGGAGAGAGAAATTACAGCATCTGTCCCTGACCTCCTACTGAGGACACAAACTGAGATACATCCATCCTGTCCTGGTAAATTAGCACTAAAACTGCTGACAGCATGGCTTTAAAAGGGATATTGAGCTTTATCTTTAGGGTGTAAATACAAGTATTTATTCTGGATTTGCTCAGAGAGTCCAAGTCTTTTGACAATGTGACTAAGACACAGCATGAGGCGTGAAGTTGGCTGGTTTATGAAACATCAGACCTGACTAATTGGGCAAAAAGCTGAATAGAGAAAAAGGAACCCACCTGCCAGGCCTCCAGCTCCTGTGACAGCTCCAGTTTCCGTTGGATAGCTTCTAATAGCTGGTTGTTCAGGCACATCATGTCATTTTTACTTCTCACCAGCTCGACCTCCATCAGATTTTTCCTGCAAATATATGAACATAAGTCAACGGAATCACAATTATATCAAATCAAAAAAGGCATATTAAAACATTTTACATATACTGCAAGAAATGCTCTGCCCTCTCCGGTTTCTGAGAGAATAATTCATATTTCACTGAATATTAAACCCAAAGCAGTCTGTCAAAGGCATCTGGATATATTTGATACTATCAGGCAGCGAAAAAGTATTTCTTCTCACTTGGCTATGGCTTCGTCTCGGTCCCTGATGGCCTGCTGGACAGCTTCATTGTTCTCCTGTACGCTCTGCAGCTTCTGCCTCAGCTCTGCATTCTGCTGCTGCAGCACGACATTCTGGAGAAAGAAGAAATGATCTATGTTTAGACCGCCATGTCAAACTTACTGTAAAAACTGTAAATCAGTTTCCGTATCTTTTTAAAGCACAAAATTGAGCACTTTTGCTGAACTTTTTAAAAAAATGTTAAGGACTTGAAATGTTATGTGTTCAAATTCTCATTATGATAATAAAAAAATAGAGAGAGTGATGTCATTTTTAAACTGAATACTAATTGTGATCTTATTTTTGATTTGGAGGTAATCTCAATAAGAGGGATGCAAAATTTGTCGTGGTACACAAGTCCTCCATCATGCATGCACTTTTTAAAGTAATTTATGCCATTTAAAGAATCTCACTGTAGATCTGTGACACTGACATGGTTTAAAATAAAAGCAGTGAGGTCAGAAATGGCAGTCAAAACTCTAAAATAATGGGTCGCTGCTCCTCCCTGATACACTCGTCTGTTCATCTCTAGGGTTACCTGATCTCGCAGCTCCTGTGCTGCACTCAGATTCCCACACTGATCACCCGTCCCATCAACAAAGGCATGATTCAGCTCCTGGGACAGACACATTAACACAGGGATCAGGTTTCAGCCGAGCATTTCACAGATATTTACACCAGAAAGGGGTTTCTGTGGCATTGGCCTATTTGCACGGCGCTCCAATGAGGAAGAGGCGGGCGAGAATATTGAGTTACAGTGGTAAATGCCTGTTACTGGTCAGGAGACACAAGTGAACAATTGTACCTGCTCGCTTGTGGCCGATAGAGGCTTAGTGGAGTATGTAACCTATCAAGTGCAACAATTCATTGACATCTTCTGCACAAACGAGGACACTCAGTTCCTCAGCGTGGTGCCTTCAACGGCCACAGGGTGATAGTTCAGCTTACTTTGAATTAAGTTATTGTCTAATGTCTTTCATGCATTTTCTTTATCCATTGTCCTCTTCCAAATGGTAAAATCCATCATACTAAAAGTTAAACACCAAAAAATGCTAACATAGGGGTTAAAGAATTATATTCTTATTTTAAAGCTGTGTTTCAAATGCACCAGTCTGCAGAACTATCCTACAAATGTATAAAATTACATCTTTTTTAAAAGGTAATATTTTTTTAAATGTATGCGTCTCTTGCTTTAATCCATCCAAAACATTAAGTATTCCAAGTTTCATGAGACAACTTTTTTTATACATCAATAAATGTAATTGTTTGAATGATTATTCATCAGCCCCAGAAATGTTAGCACAAAGGGCATATAGTATATTAAGTTTTTATGTGCACTATAATGGGAAATATAAAAAAATGTAGAACAGAAAGACATACAATAGAATTTAATGCGTGTGTTGTCAACAACGTCAGTCTTTTGTTTTGCATTTCCTGAGGGCCGGGCGTATGAGCCAGAGTTTGAGCCACTTCCTTTAGCCGCAGCAGCATCGGCTGCAGATCCTCCTGATGATCCTCGGATATCTCTGTGCTGCTCAGCGGCTGGGTCAGTGGGAGCAGTAACTGAAGGATAGACCCCATTTCTTGCTTTATCTGTGTAGAACAAGAGAAGAGGATGATATATGTTAGTTATGACCTTGAGCTTTACAGTGTCAGTTTAGCTGAGAAGTGTTGAGTTACTCTAAATTGTACAATTGGTAAAGCTTGGAGGCTGCAACAGTATATCTGACCTATATTACAAGAGTTAATGTTTCAACTGTTTAAAAGGAAAGTTACCTAGGCTATTATCAACAAACAATGGGTAATAAAAACTAATAAACTTCTCACATCTTTCATGTTCTGTTCATTTATTTTTCTTTCCACCTGATCATTACTGTTAAATATTTACACACTGGGAGGGGCCAGCATGACCTCATCTCTTTATTTAACTTCCTTTGAGTCGGTCATATCACATGATGATACTGATCTCATATAATAATGACTCAGAGAAAAATGTAATGGCCTATAACATATTTCCCAACAAGAGGATCGCAGATGATTTGCTGTCTTAGGAATTCTAAAGCTTTTAGCTAGCAACTTTTGTTGACTATACAGGGTCATTCTCAAATGTCATATCTTTTTTATGTTAAATACTTTGAAACCACTGCTGATTTTGTGATAAGTTTTCAGATTAAAACATGGACCAAAATCCTAGAAACAAGGAAACTCAACATTGTGGCTATGGCAAACAGGAAACGTAGCGATGACTCATGAGAACAGTTATATATCACACTTTCCTGCCTGACCAAAACAATAATAGAAGAAACCAGAAGAGAGGGGGATCAGACAGTAGTCAGTTTTCCTGCTCTCGCAGAAATGTCATTTGATGTCTTCTTTAACAAGTGTTCTTTTGTGTGTCTTTGTGATGTCTTTATTCTGGAAATCAGAACCTTCACACCTTCTCCTCTTAAAGCGTGTTTTTGCATCAAACACAAGGCACAGTGTCTTGACAAACCTATGTTCTGTCTGCGCGGCTATCATTGTAACAACAGTTATATGTTTCAATTGCTACTGCTTTGATTTATAGCCCCCATACAGGCTATGTGTGGTCCAAATAATCCTTTTTTTTTTCCTTACTTCTGGGCACTGATTTACTTTCATTATGTACAATTCATCTGAAGAACTCCCAGTTTCTGTGTTAAAAAAATGTTTTCATGCTCTGTCATTGAATGCTAAGAGTGTTTCACATGGATTTATCATCTCTCACCATCAGAAAATGTATATGTTTATGATATATGTTATATATATATATATATATATATTATAACCTCTCAAAAGTCAATTGAGAAAAAGTTTTTGGTTCGAATAACAATACAGAAATGTTGGTTTAATCTTAAATGTTATGTCACTTGATGTTAAGTGTTGTGATATCATCCACCTTTGTCTTATCACTTAATAAAGAAGCACGAAAGTACAAAGAGCACTCTTTTTAACATGAAGAGACTCACTTTGGACAAGCTAAAAGTACAAAATAGACAATGAGACATTTGCTTTTTCTCACATATTCTATATCTTTGTCAAAACCACCATTTCCCACGATGCAACTCAGGCCTCATCAGCGCAAATAACATTCCTGTGTTTTGCCTAATTTAGCCTTAAACTGCTAGCCCCCAGCAGAGACAAGAAGCAGGCTGGAAAGTTCCTGCAGGTCTACTTATTTCTAACTCCCAATTTTGTCTCTCCATTTTCTGATATGTACTCCGACCAATGATAGCTATCAGATTTTTCTCTTATTCTCTCTTAGTGATTGAAGAAAAAGTATTCTGACTGTAATCATCTCTTCTGCTGATTCTTTGATACCTCTTCTTTGCTGACTCCAAGCGATGCAGTCTCCAGGCTGCTCTCCAGCTCAGACAGCAACGACGCATCTCCTTGGCTCCTGGCTTCCTGCAGGGACACTTCCTCCTGAAGCTCTTCCACCTGTGCCTGCAGCTGCTGTGAATGACCCTTCGCTGCCTCCACTTTCTGCCACGCCTCGGCTAGCTGAAAAACACGAGGAGGTGCAGACACATACTTGAACACGGACATAAACAAAGAGATTAAACCTGAATGCACTGATATGCCTCTGAAGTTACCAACATGTACAACAAGTGGTAGAGATAAAAGTTAAACACAAATATGATTCTCATGAACAGAGGAAGATGTGATTACACAAAATTATTTTAACCAACGACCACCTTTGTTTGTTTTTTTAAAAGCTGTCATGTAAGAGAAATCCTGACTTGCCAGATTCCAACCTGCAGCCCAACATGAAACCAAAAGAACACAAGAGGAATCCAGATTTTCGGGTCAAAGTTACAATGACGGGGATGAGGTGATTGTTTACAAATTCTTTCCACAATCCCGCCGAAACCCAGACCGCCAGGCAGGGTGCACAAAATCCCTTTGTTATTGAGCCTCTCATTCATACACCAACTGAGCTGTTTTGTGTTGCCTTGTCTGCCATAGTGTGTGTGTGTGTGTGTGTGTGTGTGTGTGTACCTGCTGGCTGTGCTGCTGGTTCAGTTGGTCGTGCAAAGCCAGGCGTGTGTGTAAAGAGGCCAAACTGGCCCTCAGCTCATTGTTTTCTCGACACACAGACTCCAAACGCTCCTCTAGCACCTGCTCCTTCTGGGTGAGGCGCAGCACCTGTAGACACACACACACACACACACACAGATCTTTCACATGAATGAAAATAGATTTAATCTCTGACACACTCTAACTAGTCCCTACCAATGTTAAGTGAGTGTTAGAAGAGGTTTGGGATATGTTTTCAGGTTTTCTTTGACTTTAAGAAATGACACAAAGTACAGCACTTTTTTTTTTTAACAGTGTGATTTTCTTTTGTCTCTATTCTGAAAGTCAGTCCAAATGTATTGACTTTGTGTTACTAAAGGAGACATTTCCCCTCTACATCAAATGAGTAGCCAAACAAGAATTTGACCTACATTAACAGGCGTTTTTAGTGCTCGAAGGGAAAAGCCAGACAAAGCCTGAATGTGTAGAATGATGAAAATATATGATGCAAATGTCCTATTATGATTCTCTTGTGATTATCGAAGGACGTTCTCAGTTTCAAGTATTTTAAAAATATGAAGTATTTTAATTAAAATATTTTTTAATGATCATTTTTGTTCAAATTCTAAACAGAAAAAGTTTTTTTTTTTTTTTTCTTGAAAAGAATTTTCACTCTTTGTAGCATTTTGGACATATTTTCTTTCTGTTTACTTTCTGCATGTGCTCCACAAACTGTTTTATGTTTGTTTTTCTTTTTTTTATAAAAAATATTAACTTAAAAAGCTCAAATGAAAAAAAAAAACTCTGAGCCAAAACCTTCCTCAGTACAGGGCAGGCTGAGTAATATGAGCCAGAAGCTGTCAACGCTTTTAACCAGAGATAATCACAACCGACAGGCTGGTGCAGTGTTTACTGGTCATCCTGTTCATTTGAGAACATGATGCCCTCGACCAGCCTTTTAGCATTTACATTCAAAGTAAGCTTAGGCTTGGCTTCACTATTATGTGAAGCCAAGCCTAAGCTTACTTTGAATATAAGGTTTGCAGTGGTTAGTTACCTGCTCCCTCATGGCACTGATCAGCTCCTCATCCTGCAGCTTGTTGTGGCTTCCTTTTTGTTGGAACTCCTGTTTTAGAGTCTGCAGCTCACTGGACATGGCTCTCTCCACCTCTATCGCCTGCTGACACAAGAATACACCAGAGAGAAAAAGCATGAGATTTGATTGTTGTTTGGGACAACAGAAAAGACACAACACAAGGCTTTTTAATTTGTAGGATAATCCTCCCTGTGAATGAGCAGAATGTTGACAGGGAGACATCTAAAGACTCAGACAAACTTTAAACTATGACCAAGAAAAGTGGAAGCATACGTTTGTTTCTGTCTTCTTGAACCACCTGAGGCATGAGCTTTGACAGATTGAAGGCCACAATCTTGATTCTAAAAATAACCAAATATATAGAAGGAGATAAGATCCTGTAAATAGGTTTTTATGTTATTTGCCTCAAAGGAAGGGATTATTTAACTTAAAGAAAACATATGTTTGGGATGGTTTCTGCCTAAGGCCAAGAATCCCAAGACAAATAGATGTTTTCATTACTGCATATGGAGGTACTTCTTATGGTTTCAATATGTTCCCCAGCAGGGATCAAAACCTAGGGGGTCACAAGATGATCATAGGGATATGAAGGAAATTGTTTTCTTTTCTACAACAGCTCTCACATCTTTTGTTGAGTATAGATATTGTAACCTATTTGGTTATTAAAAATCCTTGCAATAAAACTACACGTGTGGAGATAAAGTTATTTTTGACCTGCTCACTATCATGTCCTCATATATGGATTTAAAGGAGCCTTTTGAACGTTTTGAACACCAGTAGCGCTGAGGAGCAGTGTTTTCTTTCAAATATGTACTTGTTTTGTTTATGTCACAAACATGGCTCATTGAAAGTCAACAGCAGTATTATGTCAATAAACATTCAAATGTGCTAGCTGGGTAAAAAAAAACTGATTAAAACAATGTAGGAGTCAAAATACAAACATGAAAGATGTTTTCACAATATTGTATGAGAAAGAGAAAGAAAATGCATTTATCATGTCAGTCAGGTAACAAGTATACATACTTAGCATTTTGGTGAGAAAGTCTGATGGTCAACAAAACTTTTTATTTTTTAAAGATTTTGTTGTGGGGCTTTTTTAATGGAGAGACGGAGGGGAATGACAAGCGGGAAAGGAAACAATGGTTGGACTTGAACCTGGGACGCCTGATTCAATGACAACAGCCTCTGTACAAACTAACCACTCCGCTAAAGACATTTTGTAAACAGCATGGAAACAACTTTACTTTAAGAAATTAGTCATTTACAAAACATATTTTATCATATATATTTATGCTAATAAATGTATTATGTATTTTCTATATATATATAGAAAACACATAATACGTATAATTCACTTTCCCAAAACTTCTCTCTCAAACTTTGACCATTAAAGAAAAGGAATCTTTGGGGATGTTTTTTGTAGCGTGGCTGTGCCGCTTCTGCAACCCAAGTGAACGCCCCCAACCTGTCGCCCTCCAAATGCCCCCCTCAGAACCCCCACCTGCCTGATCAGAGTCCCTCAGCTCCCCTTACTCAGCAGTTTGGCGGACCCCTGTCACGTCCCATTACCGCCACACAATACAAGATGAAAGAGCGGACTCTTAGGCAGATGGAGCAGAGGGCATCTTGGACCGCTCTGTGACATCATCATGCCCTTAGACATCAATGTGTGCGGAGGGTAAACACGGACATCCTGAGGGTGAAGCCGAGGGGACAGAGGATGCGAGGCCTGAGTGAGGGATAAAATTAGTGTAAATGTGTGTTTGTGACGAGAGTTAAACAGGCACTGATGGAGAAAAACAAAACAAGAGGAGAAATGAGGGGAGAGGGGCTTAAAGTTGAACATTTGTGAGTCTTCATTAACGCTGTCTCATGTCATCGACATGGGCCCCCTTCCACAATGGAGGCAGCGACCCACTGAGAATCCCCAAAACATGAGTGGAAGGACGACGCTCCATTTGGTAGAGACACAAAGATGATATCCCCCGGATCCCCTCACACAGGCCCCTCACCGAGCCAAACACTGAGGAATCTAACAGCTGACTACCCACGCTACAGCCAATCCCCTCGGGGAGCGTGCAGAAAAGATGTCTTTCCCCCGGGATGATGGGATGTTTGGGCAATATCAAAGGGGAAAATGAAAGATTTATATCTCTGCCATCTCTTTATTGTCTTTCCCTTTTGTCTGTGAGCTGCCTGATGCTTGTAGAGAGGGCAGAGGTCACGGAGGCTCGCCTCAATTCAGGCATCTCATTTTACAATAACGGAAATCTACTGTGAGTGATTCGCCACAGCCGGCCAATAAAACACTGTGATACACTGCCTGGGAGGCCAGAGATCCTGTTACACTGGGAGGTAGAGCAGGGGGTGAAAAGGTAACGTGTTAGCATTATGTGTAACACACACCTGTCAATCAGACACCAAAAGAACCACATTGAACTAAAAAATAATAGTCACAACACTTACGCAGATGACTTACTGAAAATGCTAAGCCAATATTTGTTTGCAAAAAAGACTTGCATGACAATAAATGTTTCTTGTTTCATGCTTCTAAATGTTAAGATACAATTGGATTACTCAAACAAGCTATAGCCAAATAAAAAGTGAAAAAAAAAAAAACACTTTTTGTAAACTGAAGAAACTGTGATATTTGGATTCAATGTTGACTGAAGCAAATACAACATTTATCTACAAACTTGTAAAACGACTAATTGTTATACTTTATTTAACTTGACACATGTCCAAACAAATGTCCTGCACATGCTTTTAATCTGTTAAATGACTCTGCCCAAAATACAAACATTTCCAGCTTATCAAACAAAATCATACTCCTTTTCTAGTCTGGCATTTCTCATCCAGTAGATGTGTTCATATCCTGATGTTAATTCACCGATAATTTGAAGGCTTGGAACATTTTCTTGCACAAGTATTCAAAACTAAGCCAGGAAAATGTGTGAATGTTATTTTCACTCCTTCAGTGTAAATACCTGCGATAGCCTCCAGTTTCCTCAGAACCAGACTGCACCTATTTTCTTGTTAATCAATTACTGAGCTGAAATTTTGAAAAGTGGACAAAGAGATCCATCCGACTCATTTATTTTTCCCACACCGTGTCTCAGTTTCTGGAATGAAGACATGATCAGAAGAAAAACACTCTGACATCACTCGTCACTCTCTGCTATTTTAACCTCAACAAAACTGTCCAAACAGTCGCTGCTGCTGAACCATGTGACCATCTGGCAAACATCGACGCTGTTTTCATACAGCCGCTTCCTTAAATGTATCAGGAGGAAGGGTCACGGAGAATCTTTCCTCATGCATCGGAGCTTTCCTTTGTTGTTTCTGGTAAACATGAGGATCTTATTCTATCTTAACTTTCGTAGTTAAGCCAATGTCCTCCTCTAGATTCCTGTCAGGCTCTACATCAACACAATTATATTGTATTGGAAAGCTGCCAGAGCTTCATTATGTAGACTCAGAGGCAAAGACACACTGAATTTATTTTGAGTGTGTTTCAAATATAAAACTACACCAAAAACTTTACTGAAGCCGCTGATCTCACACATTTTGTAAATCAATCACCGGTCTATATTAACTGGTTCCTTTATTGACCTTTGGTCCCAAATGTGAATATTTTCTTAGTCTTAGGTTATAGCAAAGTCATTTTCTTTTTCTTTTCTTTTTTTTACTGTTGGTTTAGAAAAGTTTTTGACATTTTAAGAATGTGACTCTCAGACCTTTAGACCTTAATTGTAACTATTTTCAGCCTTTTTACGCAGCAAAAGTTAACCTCTTTATTCTAATATAAAATCAAATGGTTCGTTGTCTGAGTAGAGAGCCAGATTGAGCCAGAGTGAGACCAAAGTCACCTGTTTCATTCAAAACTGTGATAGCTCATGTACAAAGAAACACAACTCACCCGAAGCAGACAGCTGTGCAACTGAGGCACCAGAAGACTCGTCACACATGGAGCGTCTTCACACTCTCTTTCTTCATTCACACATTCGCTATCCTTTGCTTTTTTTACCACCACACAGAGTCCAGAGTTGCCTGCATGCTTCCTGTACTCTGCAGCCAGATAAAATGTTTTCTTCACTTCCCTCTCCTTGAACAGCCCAAACTTAGACACAACTTTTTTTTTTTTTTTTTTTTTTTTAAACTTAATTGACTTTTTCCTGAACTTCTAGCCTGCCTGTCTGCTTTCCTCTGAAATTTCGGAGGGGGGTAAAGACGTTCCTAGTTCCTTATTCTGCGGACCTTGACTTATGGGAGGAGAGAGTATTCTGTTTGTTAGGATTCATTTTGAACTTTGCCAGCCCGAGTTTGCTGCTCATTAAAAGCTGCTCCACCATGTCTGTGTTTAACATAACCCTTTAATGTTTACCAAAATACTCCTGACTCTCTCAGGCTGGAAAAGTCCTCAAGGTTGTCCAGCTGTGTGAACCAATCAGTTCCTCCATGCTTACTGATTAGAGGCTGTAAAGTATGTCATCGGCTTGATTTTCCTCTCAGTGTTCAGTGTTTCCTTCATATAAAACGCTGACAATCATATATATACGACCTGAGACGTCTCATAAATTGTTTGACTCAATTGTTTGCTGCCAGGTTTTTTTTTGTCCATTACGTCATACAAATAGCTAAGCACAGTTAACCTCAAGTTACTTATTAAACCCTATATTAGATTATAATATTCTCATGTAGGGCAGCGGAAAGTGACATTTCTCCGATCAATTTGTCTCCCCTTTTTGTTAATTAATAGATTAATATTTTGGTTAAAGGAAAAAATAATAGAGTTTACTTCAGCCCAAGGAGAAACCTTTAGTTATTTTGCATTGTTACACAAACAATGAAATACTTTAAGATTTTCAGTTTACAGTGATTTAAAAAAGAGAATTGGAAAATCTTCATCATACAGTAAATCACAGTCACAAACAGATCTATTCTATGCTTTCCTCCCTTTGTCCTGGACCTGACATCAGGTCATAACATTAACTCTCACTCCCCATCTCATTTACAAATTGTTTTCCTTCTGCTTCATGCTGGCACGGATCATTTGCCTGTTGCTACCAACATACTGATACTTTGATTTAAGATCTTCTGTCTGACCAGAGCCACATCTGCTGCTCCAGTTAAAATGAAAAATGTCTCTTTGAAATCAAAATGTGTATAAATCTGCCCTTGGTGCTTGCCTTGCTCCGACTCTATAAATAGTCTGAGAGTTTGGCCTTGCTGTGTGGAGCAGACTTGATTGAGATACACTGATACACAAAGCTTAGCAGAGAACATTGAGTTTCAGTGTGTGGATCTTGTTTCAGTCCATCTTATCTGGTTTAGCCTGAAGACCTGCGCGCTTTGGATGCACAGTATCTCAGGTGTTTGTTTCACGGGGGTTCAGTTACCTTTTCGTAAAGCCTAAAGGGGTTTCTTCGATAACATGATGCAGATATTGATGCGCGGTACTCACCGTGCGGAGCTGCTCCCTTAGCCGCTGCGTCTCCTCGCTGTGCTCCTGCCCGGCGCGGCTCTTGTCCCTCTCGGCCTCACCGAGGGCCTGAGTGAGCCGCTCCACCTTGGCGCTGAGCTCCCTCACATCCCGCTCCAGTTCCCCCACCTGGATCTCCCACTGGGACTGGCAACCCTCCAGCTTCAGCCGCAGCTCATGTCTGCCCTGCTCCAGCTCCTACACACACACACACACACACACGGGGGTGGACAGATTGCACGTTATGTTAATTCAACAAGGACTGTGTGAATGTATACAAAGGATTTGTAATAATAATGAAAGTGGATCCAAATAAAGACAGACACTTGTAGCAAAGACAAGGCATTAGAATGATCAAACGCACCTGCACACCGTATTCAGAGCCCCAAAGGATCATGGGAAATGCTATGAATCTGAAAATGTAGTCTGTTTATTTCCAATGAAATGTTTTTATAGTTCTAATAAAATATCAGCCTAATCTGTTTGAAAATGATACACTGGGACTTTTAGTGTATTAATCAAAAAGTTGATGACAGAAAATAAATTGAAGTTGTACGAATACTTTTGTGAAACCTTTACCTTGAGGCACTCCCCATCACAATGTCCTGATACTTTATTGACCAAATTATGTAAGCCCTGAGCATATTCAACCAAGAAGATTATTGTTGCATCATTATATTGCATTTATCAATTTTTCTGTTTCGTACACTCTATCAGTCTTCATGCAGATAAGTCCTCGCCAAATCTTTATTGCTCTTTGCAAAGTACTTGGCACATTAACACTGTGCCTCAGGTTTGTTCTGACTGTGTGGTTTCAGCTGATATCACAACCTGATAAACATCTAACACTGAACAGATCAAAGAGACTCTGCTCTGACATTCACCTTGAAAGAGACTAAGAACATTATTTTTGGTGCCCCACACTGCTGTTCTGTTGGATGTACATATTGTTTTGTAGATGTGAGAACATGTGCAGCTCTCTCCTTGTGTAACATGTAAGCGGCTTGGTGGTTTCTCTCACAGCCTGTGAACATACCTATTATGTTTCTTAAGCTAGAAATGCTTTGAAGTCACTGGAAAAAAACACAAAAGAAGAGAGTACAATAGGAGCACAAACATTAATAATAGCGGAAATTTGACCAGCACCAACTATTTCAAACTTTTAGTAGGCCTACTTTAATGTGAGGTCTTTTACAGATGAATTCTAATTGGATGTTTATGATTTAGTATTGTATTTGATTATTTAAATCCTTCCTTTGTAGGTTTTTTTTTACATAATTGTGTCCCATTGTTCTCTAATAACAAAGATGAAATTTTGCTTTTTGACAGAAATTGCCACATGGGTGTATTTTCCATAGGCTATAAAAACATAAGAAGCCTTTCTGGAAAAGAAAATGACAACTCGGTATGTTAGCTGCTGTTCCAAAATAAATGAGTTTATTTTCTGTTCTATTCTTTAAGTTTAACTTTGCTCCCAAAGTAGATAGAGAGTCTTATCGCCTAACACTTATGGGGATTAAACATATACATAGAACAAACTAATGCCTTAGCCTATTTGACTGTATTGGACTATTCGTGGGTCTGAAAGGAAACTAGGCTACTTTTACTTTCCAATCGTCCGTTTCAAACATTTCCAGCAAGCGCGTCGTTCAGACTTCTCCAAACCACACGCTGTTACTTTTGTCGTCTAATTTACCTAAGTTCATTTTTAGACGCCGTAGGATAAATACAGAAGATTCTTCTCACCTCCAGCTTGTCAGCGTAGTGATCATGAAGTTTTTCGCCCTGCTCTTTTAATTTACGGTTTTCCAGGAGCAATGCGTTTCCCAGCTGGGCTGCCAAAATAACCTCTTCCTCCTTTTGTTTCAGAGCAGCCAGGAGTTCGTTGGGGTCTTGATAATCTGTTATTTCCTCCGCTCCGTAGTGGAAGTAGAAATCCTCCTCCAGATCCAGGCTCTTGGACTTAAAGCTCCATTCATCCAGTCGATCCATAACGGAGGTTTGTATTAAAATGTAAACGCTGAATCCTTGGATGAAAAAAAAAAAAATGTTTTAAGGCAAATCCACAAAAAACATCAGTGTGTGGGCAACTTGTCCATCCATTACACCTGCACCGTGTTCCTGCTCTCTCTCTCTCTCTCTCTCTCTCTCTCTCTCTCTCTCTCTCTGCTGAGTGTCCACTTTAAGCTGCTCCGGCTGTCACCAACAGATGACTGTCTCTATGCAGGTGGGAGTGTCTTTAAATCACCTGAGCAACTGTTACCATCCCACCGTAAACAACCCCACACACTCACCTGTCTCACTAAGGCTCCCTGTTTATCATGGAAAACTTCCACAAAGCACAGAAACACCTGTCAAATGTGAATAAATGCAATGATTATCACTTTAGTCAAGAAATTAAGCTGGTTGTCATGGCCTTGTTCTAAATCAGATGACTACCAAGAATAAGATAATAATGTAAGGTTTTATTCAACCATTTTACAAACCTGTAAAATAATTCATATAAAATAACCTGTAAAGAAATAAACTGAAAATTCAGCATTTTCATATAATTTCAACTATCTATATGCCTCTCCCTGTAATTTGTAAGTTTGGCATCTCTCTCTTTGTTTGTTGTGTAGGCCTATATTTGAAATAACAAACCTAATTCACAATGCATTTCATTCTCCATATGTGTTCATTGACCATTTCTCTGTTTAATGTATTTTATCAGCCCTACACCATCAAAACATCACTTATTGTCTCGCATCTTTTTTTCTTCAACTTTAATTTCACTGCAGTAAAATAGAATACATTTTTTTAATTTTGGTGTTCATTTTGATATCTCCAACCTAATTTTACATCTTCATTTTACTGTGACTTATTATTTTGTGTTTTTTTTTTGCTCTCTGGCCGTATCTAAAACCAAAACGTGTTTTGTTACCAACTGATATTAATGTTTGGTAATGTAATGATGAGAGGGTGAGAGTCACTGTTTCAAGACAATACTTGATTATTTGTTTTGCTTTTATAATTCTTTTTTAAAGACATTTTGGATTTTGCAGTGCATATTAGACCAAAATGTTTCCAGAAGTCCAGAAATTAAGAAGGAAATGTTTTTTATGCCAACTCTATATGCAGAGGTAACAGTCTCTATTACTTGCAGCTGATCAATCTCTTAATCATCTGTCCATCCAATAAATGTTCCAACAGGTCTGATAGGGCGGTGCAACAGAGGGGAGGGAAGTCCAGAAATTAAGAAGGAAATGTTTTTTATGCCGACTCTATATGCAGAGGTAACAGTCTCTATTACTTGCAGCTGATCAATCTCTTAATCATCTGTCCATCCAATAAATGTTCCAACAGGTCCTGATCAGGGCGGTGCAACAGAGGGGAGGCATTGTCTGGCAGCTTGCCAGAGGTTAAAGGTCAGCCTCCGCAGGGTTTGACGGAGCCGGGTCGGCAGTGTCGGGGGAATAAAAGACGCAGCATCCTGACGCGTGGTGAGGTTTTGTTGTCGGGGGGGGCAGGCACAGCTTCTGTACATGGCAGCAGGCATCAAGCAAGCTGAGTTGTACACACCCACTGTCTTCATTGTTTCTGTTCATTTTGTATGCCGCTAATAGAGAGGCTTGTGCCGCAAGTGTGACCAATAACACCTGTCAGCCACAACAACACATTCAGATGACTCTAATGAAGCTCATGTGTTCATTTAAACAGTCATGTGTAAGAGGGAGGGACAGTTGTATTAAGACTTTGGAAAGACTCACAGAAATGAAAAAAAAAAAAAAGAAACATCCCTCTGATGATTCAGACCCCTGATGTCACTCTGCATTTTATGGCAACACTTAAGTTCAAGGTTTCCTGCTGTAAGTTTAGTAAGAATTTGTGAGGAAATTGAATCAAGGCTACCCAACTAGAACCATAAAAGCCTGTTCGATGTTTTATATGAAGTGCTGAGAGCACTTGAGATCAAGAGCTGAGAGCAATGCTGTCCATGACATCGTTCTGTCTGTGTGTACCAGGAGTCCTACAATCTGAAGCAAACATCATCCAGCTGATGATGGCGTTGAGAGTGCTGAGTGAGCCAAATAATGGAGGAAAGGGCACATACTGATACAGATATTGATAATTAGAAATAAATAGTGTAGCTACGCAAAACTTGGTCAGTGACACATAATATCAGTGTTTTTAAATCACACCCCAGTGCTCATGGTCAGCCTCTAGACTTAGACAGCTTTGACTTGATAATATGAATTGTAAAAGGTGATTGCTGGGATTACTATTTTGTCTCCCAGCAGTGTCGGAAGAAATATTCAGATACTTAACATGAATAGTTACTTGTACAAAAAGAGATTCCTCTAGTCCTGCTTTCAAACCTTATTAAGGTACAGTTTTGCAGGTATCATCTGGACGAATGAAAAGTTAAAGTGCAAATTGGGAAGTAAATGTAGCTTTAAGTTTTCAACTATTCTTTGGATTAAATTCTGCATTAATGTACTTGTTGCATTGTACTTTTGTTGAGCTAATTCAAACTACTTTAAAAAGGGCACAGTGTTGTGGGTGTTTTAAAATTCTGCCATGCATTGTATTCTATAGGTTCTTCATATTTTTGTCTAGTCAATGCATTTAATTGTTCTTTTGAGCAATCACCAAATGTGTAAATGAGGTTTTCAGTGCATGGGATGGATATGATGGGGATAAAGGAAGGCTCTTGCAAAGTAGAACTTTGAAAAAAATGGAAATATTTCAACTTCTACTCTTCAATTAGTACTACACAGTACTTTAGTAGGCTGACTATACTTTAAATTAAAAAAACACACAAGTCTCAATAGCATGCTTAATTTATTCCATCCCAGAGCTCTGCTGGCTCCTAGTGGACAAAAATGTAACAACAAGATTTCTTGTATTTAGGGCTGTTTTATTTTCCCTCAAGAGTTTGGAGTAAAGAAAATGTTACTTGTATACTGCTAATGATTCATTAATTATTATTAGCACGTCTAATTGAATCATGATGCTATGAATCTGAAACTTACAAAATGCGTTTCCCTTTTTGCAAATTTAACTGTCTATAAACTATAATTGAGAGGCAAATATTGTACTTTTTATTACAATATTTAGTTGAAAACTATACTGACAATCTCACAATCAGATGGAAAAAAAAAAAAGTCAACAATCAATGATAAAATTACGTAATAAATAAAGTTAAAAAAAAATTAGATCCATGAGAAAGATCCAAAGCTACCAAATTTGACATAAAATAGTGAACATTTTCAGAGTTGGTTTTACAGGAGAAGAGAAATGCCAGTACATACTCCGGCCAGCAGGTGGTGGCATGGGCACAAAGATAGAAAAAGGAAGCAGACTATAAGTTGAACTTTAATAAGCGGTGTAGAGCCACAGTTTATGGGTAAAGCTGACTACTGTAACTGAACATACTCATATTATTTGTATGCCATTGCAGGAAAATGGAGAGGGGCTTAGGATAGTTTCAGCAATTAAAGCGTTAGGGTAAGTAGCCCATCGATTAACTTCACATTTGTGTGCTGCGTAGTCAGAGAATGCCAAATTGTTTTTGAAGCAACATTTCAGGAAGCTCATGTTTGGAACAAGTCAGCTTGCTTTGATTTATTAGGTCTTGATTCTCTGTGTGCAACATTAGTATGCTTTGTGTCAATAGTCTGGCCTTTTTAGTTCATGGTGGTACTTTCACCTGCCGTCTTTGTGCTCAGGTACCCGGGTGGTTCCTGCCTCACACGGTGTGGGTGTGATGAACTTCCCTGTCCTCTGCTCACCTGGCTGGCTGCGGAGCTGAAGACTCTCTGTCCAGAGCTGCAAGGTGTGTGTGTCAGAAACCATTACCTGTTGTGTTGTATGTTGTTGTGGTTACTTTGTAGTAACTTTAGACCTCTTAAATCCTTTGAGTCATCGGTGGTGGATTTATAACTTTTAGGCCTTACTACGGTAGACTTTCCAGACTTATATATATGGTTTTTATTGTTAATAATTTTACATTTTTTATTCTATATTACGTGTCTGTAATTGATTTTTTTTTTTTTTGTATAAATATATTAAATTAATATCTTCTCTGAGTACTAAGTGGTAATGTGGGATTTATATTTTTATAGACAGTAAAAAAAATTATGCTAAAATTTACTCTTCATAAATTCTAAAATAATTTTATATAATTATTAATGATGAAGGCTTATACATTCAGGCCTGCGAGGCAGAGGTAAGAAAAAAATAAATAATTGCATTTTAGTATGACTTACTGATTCCAACATTTTGTTTTTTTTCTTTTAGATAAAACAATTTTAAAAGAAAAAAAAACTAATTGTGCCCTTAGTATATAAATATACGCAAAGTGGGACATTTAAAAGTTGAAAAATAAATTGTCAATGAGCTCTGGTTGACAAAATATACAGTGCATAAAGGTGCTGCCACTGCTTATATTATTTCATTAGATCTATAAAATGTTTTGTATATTTATTAAATGTTTAAATGGAAAACATTGAGTTTGCTTGTCAGTAAAATATTTTTAAAAGATTGTCTTTCCATTTTGCAGACTCAAACAGGACAGGTGGTGCTTTACTGGTGGGAGAGCTGAGAAAGTTACTGTCAGACATGTTCATTCCTCTCACTGTGCTCGACTCAGAGGTGCTCGGGCCGTCCATCCTCAACACGGTCACTGGTGAGATATAATTGAAGTGTGCTGTTTTTAGTTCAAGGTAACATATGACTGTAGCGTCATAGATTTTTGTAGATTTCCTGCCAGACTTTTTCAATGCACTGGGTCTTTTTCAATTGTTTAGAGTTCCTTATATCAGAGTTGCAAGCGGCTCGTATAATCAAGTATAAGGAATCGCATGCTGAGGAAGAGACAGCAGAAGAGGGCTCTGAAAAGGAGCAGCGAGTTGAGTTTTGCCAAGAATGTGAGGACGATGAAGTTTCTGGCAGAACAAAGGCAGAGATGCAGGCAGAATGGATATTACTGCTGCGTGCACTCGACATGGACGCCTCCTCTCCACACTCAGATGTGATGACTGAGGTGAGTTTGATACAAGAAAGAGAGCTTAGTTGGAAGTTATGACCACAAACTCAGAAGCACTGACAGAGTGTTTAATGTTCTTTAATGAAGGTAGAGTCCCGGCTCGCTCGTCTTCCATGTGGAGACATGACAAACCCGCTTCTCAGCACCAGCCTCAGCACAGAGCAGTGGGTATGTTGCCAGAACTGTATTTATTTTATTATACATCTGATGTTACTCTAACATGACGTGAGCTTTTCAACGTTGTTTCTTGTTTCGTGTTTCCTTGTTTCTCAGATTCAAGTTAAAAGGATCAATGAAGTTCTGTCAGAGGACTATTGGTGTCGGCGGCAGATGATGACTAAACGTTTTCAAGTGACACTGGAATCATTTGCATGGGGAGAAAGACAAAATGTAAGCATGTTAAATCACTGCATTACTTTAAGAGAAGTCATGGAAAATATAACTTGGTTGTTGGTTTGGCTCTTTTAGTTGCGTAATGCTGTCATTGTTGATTCTGGATATAGATTACATTTAGATTATGTTAATAAAGGTACTGGAAAATCAATTGAGTGACTAAAAAACTGGATTTAACATTTAAAAGCTAGTTAAGAGTGATTACACTGTTATTGTTGGCATAAAAAAATAAGCATCGAAAGATCCACCATAACTTCCCACAATAGTATGAATACGGTAATTGACCTTGGGAAAATACACAAAAAGAGTTTCAGTAAAGAAGCAATATTGTCATCAGCTAGGCGATATAATATCGCTGCACAAAATATTGCGATACTATGCTGTATCGATTTTTCCCCCCCACCGCTGTCAGACATTTAACTCATCACCTGAAATATCAAACTGATGATGGGGCATGAGAAAAAACAAGACGATCGCCAAAGTCATCTTCATCCTGTTTGGGCCATAAATGTGACGTCCGTACAAAATTGAATAGCAATCCATCCCTTTGTTTTAATTATGCTCTAGATCATTTTATTTACCTCCCACCATAAAGCCACCCTGCTAGTACAGCTCAATACTCACTTCAGCTGTCGTCAAAATGAATTTCTTGCTGCAGCAGATTCTCAGAGGAATCAAAATCATCACTGGTCGTCTTGATGTCAATAAACATATCTATAAATCTGTTTTTTTTTTTTTGTTTGTTTCAGCAGTGGAGTGAAGCTCTGGCCTCAGTGCCTCCTCTTTCATCCCTGACTGGCTCCTCCAAAGTCTCTCTGTCTCTTCTGATTGCTGCTCGAGAGGATCAGTCTATCATTGAGCCGATCAAGGCTGGAAAAAGCACCTCTGTCTACAAGGTACAACCGTTTGCTGTCATCACACCTGTTATTCTGAATGAAGATGGCTGTTGCTCAGATGGTTTGGCACATGGTATTTAATTTAGCTATGGTTTCCAACAGACGTTGATGGGCAGTGTACCAGACAGAGGAGGACGCCCAGGGGAAATTGAGCCACCAATGCCGGTGTGGGAAGGTAGAAGAGCAAAAGGAAACGCAGGAGGAAGAAGAGGTGGAGGTGGACACCATCAACAACACAAATTTACAGACAAAAAGAAGAAAGGGAAAAAAGAATAACATGTCTTTTTCATTGGCTCTACTTGAATAATATTTTGCCTTTATTTAAATAGATGAGATAAAACATGCTGCAGTTGGATGCTGCGTTTGATATAATTTTATACTTACAAAAGTGCATTTACTTAAAAGGTGTACGACGAGACATTTTGTTGATTTGTAAAAAGAAAAATAATTGGTGGTTTTGCTATTTCATATATAAGTTTGCTTACTCAGGAATAAACCTTTGAATCATGGGAACATATTGTTTTGTTTGACATGCATTTATGCTTTAAACAGCCCAGCAATAAACATTTAGGTTAGGTTCCATTATGAAAGGCATTAGCTGTTTTTAGCTGCAGTTACTTGTAATGCAGGGGCAAAGAGAGGCATTTATTTTTTTCCCCTTTTGATGGATCAATGTATTGTTTATAATCGGGTACTCCTGTCCTGTAGACGGGTATTGTCAAAGTGCTGCTGGATCATGTGCACAAACAGGACACATGACATCCTTCAATATAATATTTGGAAACCCAAATTTATTTTGAATTAAATTTGACAGTGAAAAACTGCATCAATCTTAACAGCAATTGGTAAGTTTTAAACCAGGAGCCCCCCCACATTACTAGAAAAGAAAATATGGATAAGTAATAACATATATTTAGTTGTAAATAAGGTTTCTACAAGTAAAGCACTTTTTATATTTTTTGCACAATGCCCACAAACACATTATTTTTTCTTTTCTATAAAAGAAAATAGTTTTGAAGTTCAAAAACAGATGTTTGTAACCAAGAAAAGATGAATTTCTTTTCATTTTCAGATGGAATACTGTTGTTATTGAACAGGATGATTTAAAAAAAAAAAGTAAAATATAGGAAAAGGTAACAAAGTAAGTATCAGCTGTTTTTCCCATTGCATATTTGGTAAAGATTTTCTCCAGTTGTGGTTCACATATGGAACAGTGGCAATGTCTTCCTTAAACAGGGATCTCACCGTCTTACTCCTGGTTGAAGGACTAGATAAGAAACATATTTGTACTACACTGGTGCTATTGAAAGTTAATGAACAAGAGGAAACAGACCCCCCCCCCATACTACAGTTAATTTAAGCACCAAAGATAGACCACCAAATTTAGAGAAAATGTAATTTTGAATTAAGTTTCAGATTTAACTTAAAGACTAGACCTCCGGAGTCAAAAGTGTTAATTATCCCAGAATTATTGATATAGCGAGTTTTGTTTTTCCAAACAAATTCATAAAGCATCTTATCAATCGACTTTAACACAGAGGAACCAACATTCAGGGCAAGAAAAGCGCATTTAAATCTGGAGATACCTTCTGTTTTGTTAATACAGTTCTTTGTCCTAAAGTCAGATCTGTCTGAAGCTATAGACTGAACCTTTTTTTATTGATCTTTTTAGCTCTTTATCAAGTTCAAGCTGCAATAAACATCTTCATTTGTGTTATTGTAATATGTTACATGGGATTTTAAAGCAATGTCAAATTAGACTGTATGTTTACACTGAGATAAGGGTAATAGCTCACATGTCTTTTTATTTAAAGTGAGACCTGATGCTGCAGTAAATGTTTGATGGCAGCTGGACTGTGGTCTGTCTCCAGTGTAGTGTCATCAGCCACCTGATTTACGGTATTCTGCCAGCAAGAGAAGGGGCTTGACTATTATTTAAAAATAAAAAAAAATAAACGTGGATAGATATTGGGCTGCAAGCAATTTTTCTTTGCATGTAGTCTGGGCTTTTAATAAATACTATCTGTTACTGATGTAAGCGCATTTTTCTTTCCGTCATACCGGAAGTTACCCGTGAGACAAATGATGTAACACGTAGAAAGTTCCGGATTAGCCAAAGGTCGACAATTTTCCAAGCGAGTGAGGCGATAGTTGTGTTTCTTTTTTTCATCAGTCTGCTAAATATACACTTTTAGATTTAAAAAAAAAAAATGCCAAGAGGAAGCAGAAGCCGGACATCCAGGATGGCCCCTCCAGCCAGGTACATTTAATATTTATCAACCTTTTCTTCACAGAGTCGAGGTAAATGTGGTGCTTGTGTATCTGCTATCGCTGCAGTTACGTGAGGTAGCGTGTGTTAGGTGTGTTAGGTGTGTTAGGTGTGTTAGGTCAGGGTTGTGAATTTATACTCGCAGGGAATAATTACTTTAAACAGTTTGTCTTAACATCTAAATATGTCCTTGTTGCACAGGAAAATACGTTTTCTGAAAATACTGTGAGGGACGTAATGAAGGTCACAGGGTCTAATCTGCGTCATCGCCGTCTGATTGACAACATAAACATTTTAATTGTATTTAATTAACATGATCGATATGTTTACATTTTAACTGCAACTTAATAAAGACTGTCTTTTATGGTTTTGCATTAGTAAGCCACACAGACATTTCATATATGATGCTATTAGAGTTATTCTTCTTTGAAGTAATTAAATATTTCATATGTCCCAATGTAGTTAAGTTTGTTTATTTTATTTATTTATTTATTTATTTATTTGTTTGTTTGTTTGTTAGGGACAGTGCATATTAATGAACAGCTCTAACAATGCCAGATTATAGCAGAAGTGCTAGTTTCTATCTGTTGTCCCTTGGCAGGTAAGAGAAAGACAAATTACAAATAAAATACAAATACAAAGGCACAAGTGACACAAGACAATAAGTTTAATTATTACAATAAAGTGTCATTCCACGAGTTATCCTTTTTTCATTTTTACATATTCAGCGAATCCCTCTAACTTAACGTCATATGTCATTTATACTTGGGTTAAAAAAAAAATGTAATCACCATATTATGACTCTTAAAGTCAGACTTTATTGTAATGTCCGATTTTGGGGTAGGTCGATGACGTAGTGGAGCAGAGAGTCTCATAAGAGTGACCTTAAGTGACACCATGCGTCAGTTCACACACAGATCACTGTGTCTTATTATAACAGTCTTATTTGCCACTGTTTCAACTCTGTGCATTGAGATGTATGTTGGTAAAGTGATTTATGTAAACACTTATAATATAAACAGCTCCAATAAAAAATGAATGAATGATTGTATTGGGGCTTCTTCTTATTTTATATTTCACTGTCTTTACAGCCGGGCTCCACCACCGCCTATGGCTAGGGCTGCGCCTCCTCCCTCCTATGCCCCTGCACCAGTCCACGCTCCTCCATCCGCTGTAGGTCCTCCCGCTGCAGCACCCAGGCAGCCAGGTATGTTTGCTCAGATGGCAACTACAGCCGCTGGAGTTGCAGTTGGCTCCGCAGTTGGACACACCATTGGCCACGCCATGACTGGAGGCTTTGGTGGAGGAAGCTCTGAGCCTGCCAAGCCCGACGTCACATATCAGGTAAATAAAGGTTGGTTTAGCTGGTCATAAGACTGAGATGGCTGCAGGGGGGGATTAGTGTGTCTGAAACGTTGTAGGGAGGACTTCAGTAAACAAGTAAACAGGTGTGTGAGTGTTTGGAACTTAATGGAGGAGAAAAGGTTGATGAAAGCATACTTGCTTTATTCCATATCAAGACCAAATTTACATGCAATTCAGTTTCTGAATACAGAAATCAATACATTTTGAGAATACTTGAACAATAAGATAAAATACTTTGCTGGAATATCTTGTTTTCTCAAGTTTTCTTACCTGTGTTGGTGTTTGCTTTTGGTCTGGTTTTTAGTAAGTGTTTTCTTTTGTATAAATATTTGCAGTCACAGAGGGAATGAAATGAAAGGATCAGTATTAAGGAAACATTAGACATTTGTTCTGATGGAAATTACATGGTGGGGAAGCATTTCTGCTACAATAAAAGTGAAAATGGTTAACAAACGTACAACAGTAATGATTACAACATTTATTTTATTTTTAATTTTGGTGATGCTGTAACATGACACGAGAAAATGTGACATTAAAGACAATGGCAAAGAGACACTTAGACATAGTACAGACATAAACAATAAATGTTACGATGATACAATGACCAGTGGATGTGGATGGATTGATCTACAGTAGGAGTGGAGATTTGGGCGGATGGAATAAAAGAAAGGTAATGAATGATGCTCGAGGGAGGAATAAGTAATAATGCTGATAAATTTGGCGTTGGAAGGGGTGATGTCTGTCATTGCGTTGTCCAGTACAGTTTTGATGAGTGAAAATGCAAAGAAAATATTGAGCTAAACAAATCAAATAGAAGTATGCATAAATAAAAATATCATAATGATAGTTACAAAAGTGATAACAATAACAACAATTGTGATAATTATAATAATAGTAGTAATAACCACATAGTTTTCATGTGTTTGTAGAAGAGGAAGGGGGAAAAAAATGAATGGCAATTGGTAAGGCAGCACAGAATGGAATCCCAACCCTAACCATGCATCGGCAGCAATATACTGTAGAGTCATTTATAGGGGTGATATCTACATGTATGTGGGGTGCTGGTTTAGCTCAGTTGGTAGAGCTGGCACCTCATGCAGAGCCTACAGTTCCCGTCCCTTGAGTAATTTTCGACTTCCAATCTTGACCCTGTTTAGTGCAAGTCCTCCCCCACTCTTATTTCCCCAACTTTTCCTGTCTCTACATCAGTTCTGTCAAAGTAAGGCCACAAAAGCCCTTAAATCCTTATTTATAAATATCTTGTTCTTTTTTTTTAACAGTGAGCCTTTATATAATGCACATAATAAAACGCTTACCCATGCCTCCTCACACTCTTTGGGTTATTTTTGATATAAATTTAAAGAAAAGGAACTTCTCATCACGTGCATAAACTTGATCTTGAAATTCCTTGTGTACAGTCGACACATGAATTATCCCTTCCTCTGCCTTGTTTGTTTTAGGAGCCATACCAGGGCCAGGCTCAGCCCATGTACCAGCAGCAGCCACAGTCCATGTACCAGCAGCCACAGTCCATGTACCAGCAGGAGGCCCCCCAGCAACAGCAGGCCTGCTCCTATGAGCTCAAACAATTTATCGATTGTGCCCAAACCCAGAGCGACTTCAAGCTCTGTGAAGGCTTCAGTGAGGTGCTTAAACAATGCAAGTTTGCTAATGGTGAGTGTGACATATTTTGTTTTAATTTCAAATTAGGGTACTTTGCATAAGTACTAAGTCATCCTGATTCATAATGCTCGTATGGTTCTGAAGTAATGTTTTACAATACCCTATGTGGCCATGGGGTGGAGTTGTCGCATTTTCAATGTTTCATAAAACCATCGTTTTTCCTCACGCTGTAGGAATTTTACAATAACGTTAAATCAAGT